TTTTTTGTTTGAGTATCGATACTTTCGATACTCGCGTCAGTATCGATATATCGATACTTCGGATCGATATGCCCATCCCTAGTGTCCAGATGAGCAGGAAAATAGTTCTATCCTACACAATTACTCGCTAACAAAGGTTATTCGTCCAATTAAATGCATATTGTACTCATTATTATTATTATTATTATTGTTAAATAAACAAAACCACTGGTAAATAAAACGCACCTTAGTATCGATATTTTTTTGTTTGAGTATCGATACTTTCGATACTCGCGTCAGTATCGATATATCGATACTTCGGATCGATATGCCCATCCCTAGTGTCCAGATGAGCAGGAAAATAGTTCTATCCTACACAATTACTCGCTAACAAAGGTTATTCGTCCAATTAAATGCATATTGTACTCATTATTATTATTATTATTATTGTTAAATAAACAAAACCACTGGTAAATAAAACGCACCTTAGTATCGATATTTTTTTGTTTGAGTATCGATACTTTCGATACTCGCGTCAGTATCGATATATCGATACTTCGGATCGATATGCCCATCCCTAGTGTCCAGATGAGCAGGAAAATAGTTCTATCCTACACAATTACTCGCTAACAAAGGTTATTCGTCCAATTAAATGCATATTGTACGATTTTTGTTGTTGTTAAATTAACAAAATCACTGGTAAATAAAACACACCCTAGTATCGATATTTTTTGTTTGAGTATCGATACTTTCGATACTCGCGTACAATCGATACGCCCATCCCTACTCGCGTTCGGCTCCTCCCTCCATCTCTCTCTCTCTCTCTCTCTCTCTCACCAGATAAATGTGCACGAGGGTCGAGTGTCTGAGTGAGTGAATGTGTGTCGCGCAGATTACAAAAAGGAATCTACGGACAGAGAGCGCGCGGCAGCGCCCCGCAACCCGCAACACAATGGTGCAGACCGAACCGCCGCAATCGCACATGGGAGTCCAGTTTGTCGGACCGTAGTGAACTGAATTATGCCCAGCGCCGAGAGAACTTTACCCGAACTCGAGAGGAACTCTTTCTTACACTGCGAAATGGTAGTTATGCTTGAGTCTTTTTGATCCATCCATGCAGCATGCTATCTAACCCTGACACTCTGCATGATATGTGTGGATATATCATATATTGTGGTTTTGCTCTTCCTGAGGAGATGTTTTTCCTGTTTATCCGTCTCGTGCTTCCCCCGAAATATCTATAATTTTACTATAGTAATTCTACAGTAACCAGTATTGTTTTGATGTAAACAATGCTGTTTTGGTTCACGTACAGCGATTTTACTATTTTTTACATACATGGTAATGTACTGCTGCCATGTTGTTTTATTGGCATAGTTATCATTAGACTACTGTGGTTTGTTTACAACGTTTACATTTATTAACGGTGTTTTATTAATGCTCATTGGTTCTGAAATGTAACTTATATAGATAGTGATGTGCATATATATAGGCCTACCTAATATAATGTCTCTGTTAAATGTTTAAAAATGGCAACATATACCTGAAAAAAATATATTTTACTGCTATTTTCCAAAACATTAGAGCTTGTTCTCATAAATGTTTTCAGAATAGTGCTTTAATTATAATAGTATATTTTGTATACCTCATTAAAATTACATTTACCTCAAGATTAGTTGACATCCCGTAGCATGCTGGCATGGTACGTTACCATTCAAAAGTTTGGGATCAGTACGTTTTTAAAAAAGGAAAAGAAATGAATACTCGGGATGCAATAAATTGATAAAAAAAAAGTCACAGTATAGACATTTACATTGTTACAAAAAATCTATTTCAGATAAAGGCTTTTCTTTTGAACTTTCTATTCATCAATGAATCCAGAAAAAAAGTATCTTGGTTTCTACAAAAATATTAGTCGGAGCAACTGTTGATAATCCGAAATGTTCATTGAACCTCGAATCGGCATATTAGAATGATTTCTGAAGGATCGTGGAGTAAAGGCGGTTGAAAATTCAGCTTTGCCATTACAGGAATAAATTACCTTTTAAAATATATAAAAATAGAAAACGATTATTTTAAATTGTAATAATAATTCACAATACTTTTTACTGTATTTTTCGTCAAATAAATGCAGCCTTAGACAGCACAAGAGACTTTTCAAAATCTCTTACCGACCGCACATTTTGGAACAGTAGGGATCAGTACGTTTTTAAAAAAGGAAAAGAAATGAATACTTGGGATGCAATAAATTGATAAAAAAAGTCACAGTATAGACATTTACATTGTTACAAAAAATCTATTTCAGATAAAGGCTTTTCTTTTGAACTTTCTATTCATCAATGAATCCAGAAAAAAAGTATCTTGGTTTCTACAAAAATATTAGTCGGAGCAACTGTTGATAATCCGAAATGTTCATTGAACCTCGAATCGGCATATTAGAATGATTTCTGAAGGATCGTGGAGTAAAGGCGGTTGAAAATTCAGCTTTGCCATTACAGGAATAAATTACCTTTTAAAATATATAAAAATAGAAAACGATTATTTTAAATTGTAATAATAATTCACAATACTTTTTACTGTATTTTTCGTCAAATAAATGCAGCCTTAGACAGCACAAGAGACTTTTCAAAATCTCTTACCGACCGCACATTTTGGAACAGTAGTGTTCATGCCTGAGACATTTCAGTTATTTACACGATCTATGTATGTTGCTCCAGCATTCCTCTAAAAAAATAAAATAAATAAAAAAGAGATAGAAATCCAAAAGGAATGCCAATGGAATTTCTGTCGTAGTTTGGAACCAGTCCTAAAAGCGTTAGATGCGATTCTACTATTTTATTTGTTCAAAATTCCTTGTTTATTATCTCTTTAAAATTGGTTTTTGAATTTTAATTGACACCAGGTCTTTTTTTTTTGTGACCAGGTCTGGTATAAACATCATAAAAATGTATGCTGAGTAGTAAAGTACTTCAGCAATGCTGAAACTGTACTATTGTAACTGTCTCTCTCCAGAGAGTGTGTTCTAAGGTCATTGGATCAAACAATAGTTATACTTAACCCCAGTTAGACCGGTTACGCTGGTGCTTTCCGTAATGGAATGTGTTAATGGCGATGCTTCAGCATTCTAATTAATGAAAATGAAAATGCCAAGTATCTGTTGCACACACGCCTAAACCACACTGAAATGCATTTGAAACACTGGGGTGATGGTGGCGTGCTGGGGCATGTGCTTGGGTCTTGAGTCGGGCTGTTGTAAGCAGAACAAGTGCTTCTGTGTCCAACGTACACGTGTGTGTGTGTGCGTGTGTAGACCCCCCGACCCCTGGCACTAAGACAATGTGTGTGCCAGACTGATGCTGTGCCACTTAGCTTTTTTAATGCGAGTAGCGACTGCAATGTGTTGGTTTGTCATGATAAACCTCACGAGTGTTTGTGTATTTTTAAGTTGAGAAAATGAGTGCATTAGCAGCACTGCATCAGTCTGTGTGGTGGAAGGAAACACATTTACATGCCGTTAGCACAGAAGTGTGATTTAGTAAATGGAGGGGTCTCTGATAGACTTAATTGTTTTGAATGTGTCTGCCAGCGCATTATTTAGCCTGGTGTTAATGAAGAGAGAAAACGTAAAAAAAACATTCGATCAGCCTTTCGTAATTGAATTGCTTTACGTGTACGGTTTGATGTATCCTAAACGTGTTGCGTCAGTGAAGCTGCCTTTATGGATCTCCCCATTGGATGAAGTGATGCAGTATTGATTAAATGACAGATCAAATGGAAACATGCACTGAGTTCATATGGCTATTACAGACAATGCTCAAGTGATGCTAAGCATTGTATTTTGCCACCTTGGGATGCCTAAAACACAAACATAAACCCGTTTACAGAGCTATCATCAACCTTTATTGCATTTATATGCATTTTCAAAAGTTAAATGTTCGATTTTCTTTTAACATCTTTTGGTTGATTTCTGCTTGTCAAGCTTTAGATAGATGTTTTGTGGAAATTGCAAGAATGACTGATAGTCTTGGTAGTATTAGTAAGAATGGGTTGAAAATTTCAGTTTTTAAAAAAAAATCTGTATTTTTTGGCATGTATGCCATAATTTTCAAGAAAAAAATAATAATTACTTGCTGTCTCCAGTAATAACTGTGCATAAAACAGAAACATATAATAAAATATAATACTAAATCACATTTTTACATACACATTTTATTACTATAATTAAAATATTAAGCATTAAATAATAAATGTAATTTTTAAAAATTATTTAATGCATTTAGATTTGGACGTCTATGGAGAAAGAAACTTCACTGGAATACATTTTAAAATATGTATGGTGTAAATTCTTTTCTGAGTATATGTTATGAAATTATATCCTTTAAACTTTTGTCTTGGTCATGTAAAGCTGGCAGATATGTACATTTGTATTATATGCATTGTGATCTGAGGATAACAGAAAGGAACGTGATGTAACCATCCACAAAATATTAAATAATAAATATAAAATTATACGTTTTAAAATAACAAATGTTATATTTTTGGTGTTTGGACCAGTGCAAATGTTGGCAGGGATCATGTAGGAATTTGGCCTACTAACCTGAACTGGAAAGCAGAGAAAATCCTTATTGTTGTGTTCTGATAAAGTTTAAACAAATATATTTAAATATTAATTATTATAATTTAAAAAAAAATCTTTGAAGATGTCTTCAAAGGGAGATTTTTGTCATATTTACCCAACTTCTGGGGACAATTTTGTCCCCAAAATATCTACCACGTGCACGCAACCGCTTTAAGGCCCGTTCACACCAAGGACGATAACTATAAAGATAACGATAAAGATATAGTTCTAAAAATCGTTCTCGATATTAAAGAATAGCAGAGTCCACACCGCAACTATAAAGATAAAGACAAAGAGAAACGATATTGTTGGAATCACTTTCAAAATGATTTTTCTCCAGCTGATGAACGATAAAAAAATTGACAGCCAATCAGAATCCATCCTGCTGTAACGAGCTCGAGAATTTAAAGCGGCAGACGCGCGTGCGGTTAGAATAAACAGACGATATCGTTCGCTGGTGTGGACGCTAATATCGTTATCTTTATAGTTATCGTTCTTGGTGAGAACGGGGCTTTAGAATATAGTTGTTGTTCTAAGGACTTTGTGGTGGTCATGGGTGTTCTGCATTCCTGTTGTTTCCAGGGTAACCCATAGAATCCCTTCTCAACCCCCTCACCAACATGTGAAGCATGTCTGGATATTGGACTGATGCAATGCTAAAAAAAAAAACTAGAATGCTTCCATCAGCAGTGGTGTTCACATCAGATGCTTGCAGTGATGACACACTCTCTCAGTTTCACTCAGAGTTATTAGTGTTTCTGTTCCTGTTGTGACACTGTCCGATGTGGCCATAACGTACTGCTGTAATAGTGTGTGTGTGTGTGTGTGTGTCACAAATAAGATTGTGGAACTGGCTGTGCCCCAGAATGCTCTCTGTGACAACAGAAGATTTGTGGATGAGTGTGGATCTGGTACTTTATCTTCCTATATTGGAAGAGATGGAAAACAAATGAAAGGAATGTCCCCGGGTTTAATAGAATTGAAGCATCTATGCGATAACGTCTTATACTTGGTTACACCACATGACATTTAGTCAACATTAGAAACCTGAAATTTAGAAACCTTTCTTTACAATGATGGAAGTTTTTTTTTTTTTTTCCCCCAAGCAATGCAAAACCAACATGAATACATCTAAGAACTTGGCAAATGGGTTTCTCCTTTTCTTTATTGTGGACACACTTATTTGTCACCGACCTATAAATGCTTTAACAACAATTTTGGTGTTGTAATTTTAAGTGCATTATTATGAAGGATTTTACAAACTAAGGGGCCAGTCAGAATTATCATCACAGTTGTGTTGAGTCCAGAACATTTATTTTAATGGCACTTGCTTTTATTATACCATATAAGAAAGGTTTATTTTCTTTGTAAATGTGCATGTATGAAGAGTTTCAGTCTATGAGTGATTACAGATAAGGTACAGGAAATTGATCATGACATGTCATCGAATCTTTGATGTCTCTGT